TCTTGAATGGCCTTCTTAGCCATAGCTCGTGTAACTGCATATGAAGGGTAAAGGTCAGGAATTTCCTGCTCAATAGGGTCAGGTATCTGATCCACATAAGGAGTGTCAGTTACAAGTGGATTAACCACTACCTTATCTCCAGCTAAGTCATTACCTAGCAATAAATGAACACCTTTAAAGGGTAAGAAAGATCTTATACCTACAGCCACCGGCCCAGTTACCAAATCTGAGGACAAATAAATATTATGGAGAGGGACATTAGAAAAACCACACTCTACACCCTGAATAAGGACACTAGATCCAGAAGAAGTCTTCTCAGAAAAAGGCAGTGTATATGCTAAAATGAGAGATTGAGAAGCTCCTGTGTCTCTTAAAATTTTAATAGGAGTTGGTGGGCAAGTATCACCGATAAGTGACACGGAACCTTCCGAAAGGAATGGTTCATAAATCTCCATTATAGAATCAGACTTGGGTTCTTTGACCTTCAAAATTGCATTGTCATCAATACAAGACTGAGGTTCAGACCTTGAAGTGGTAAGACCTGTGGGTTTGGCCTCATCACGTTGCTGTTGCCTCCTTTTTAAGGTAAAGCAATCAGAAATAAGATGTCCAGTTTTCTTGCAATAATTGAATGTAGGACGAGATAAGGGATTATGACCTTTATGTTCATCAGATGACTTTGGTTTGGGAGTATTTGACTGACTAGATAAGCCAGATAAATAACCAGAACTGAACTTGGAATTAAAATGTGAGGGTGTGGACTTCCCTTTATTTAGAAATGAGACTTTGCGGGTTAAAGAATAATCATCAGCTAGACGGGCAGCTTCTTCTAAAGTTTCTACCTGTTTTTCATCTAAGAAAGATTTAACATCAGAGTGAATACAACGTTTAAACTCTTCAACTAACATGAGCTGTCTGAGCTTTTCATGATTTTTATTAATTTTCTTAGATAGACACCACCAATCAAAAAGTTGCTCTTTTTCTCTTGCAAATTCGACATGAGTTTGACCAGTTTCTTTCTTAGAATTTCTGAACTTTTGCCTGTAGGCCTCTGGTACTAACTCATAACCTTTCAGAATTAATTCTTTTACATTATCATAATTAGAGCTTTGTTCAATAGTAAGTTGTGTATAGATCTCACGAGCTTTACCAATTAAGACGCTCTGTAAAAGTAATGTCCAGTGCTCTCTTGGCCATTTTAAATTTTCAGCAACCTTTTCAAAATGAAGAAAATATTTATCAACTTCTTTTTCTTGGAAAGGTGGAACAAGCCTAATATTTTTAGTGACATCAAATTTTGAATTAATTCTATGTTCAAACTGATTGCTCTCTCTTTGATTTCTAATTCTCTCATTCTTAACTGAAATTCTCTCTCTTCTCTTTCTTTTTCTAATTTTCTCTCTTCCCTTTCTTTTTCAAACTGCCTTTCCCTTTCTTTTTCTTCCCTTTCTTTTTCTAACAGTAACTGCCTTTCTTCCCTTTCTTTTTCTTCCCTTTCTTTGTCTAACTGCATTTTCTCTAATTCAAATTTAAATTGAAGTTCAAGCTCTCTTATCTTTATTTCAGAAATTTCAGAGTGTTTTTCAACAATGTGAGAAAGTGCATCTTCTCCAAAAATATCTTCATCCACAAAATAATGAATCAGAAGATTTTTAATTTCTTGTTTACGCATTGAAGATTTAATTTCTAATAAATTATACTTTTTTGCAAGATCGAGCAAATCAGTTTTCTTAGCCAAATCTAATACCTCCTGGGAAGGTTCAGCTACAAACTTTTTTAAATTAAAAGACATGACTGCTTGCCGCTTGTTTTAAACTCAGAAAGTAATGTGTTTCAAAAATTTCAAAATGAAAGGTACATTTAATAGAACAACTATGATATCAACTCAGATGAGTAAATACGGTAATAATAAAATGTTAAATAAACGGTAATAATTTCCAATAATGTAGCCAAAATAAATATTCAATCCCGGACGAGCCCCCAATTTCTGTTACGAGCCAGGCGTAACCAGAAAGAAAAGCCAGCAACAAACTTGTAACTATAACAAATTTATTACAGAAAAATTATTAAAGAAAATTAAAACAACAAATTATGTATACAAATACCTGAAGTCCAAATATAAATGTAAAATTCAAATGTCTAGTCTGATCCTGGAATGATCCCTTTTTGAACAGCACAGTTAAATCCAAGTTATATCCAAGAACACTTTAGAATAAATTCCCACAATAAAATCCACAAGAATAATTTAATCTGTTTTAAAATCCAAGCTTCAATAAATCACTTAATATCCAATTTGAATAATACTCCAAATAACTTGAAAGGTAACTGATGACTTAAAAGATCACTGATGACTTAAAAGGTAAAAGTAATGAAAAATGTCTCTTTATATATATTAACTAAGAAAATACCAGAAAAGTCTATTATGTTCTACAGTAATCATAATCTAGCAACTTCAACAATAAAGAACATTCCGGAAGTTTCTATCTAAATATAATGCATGAATCATAATCTAGAATTTTCTACAACAGTTAAGAAAGTTCTAGTACATACATGTAGTTTATGTTCGAAAAATAGAACAATGATAATATTGGAAATACCAACTGGTCAGATATAAATTATATACATGTAATATGTTGCATACATAACACTAGAAGCAGCAATGTGTTTAATGTGAACTAGTTTATCCTTCTTGTCTTATACGATAGAAATCACTGATTCACACAAAGTCGTGGATAATTTATCACGTCATTTTCAAACTTAGTTATTAAGTCAAAATACATCTTATGCTACTATTCCTTATGTAATTGTAATGGCAAGGTAAGTTTTGTTTTTATCCAAAGTAGTAAAATGGACAACTTTGCTCAAATTTGTTATTGTTTTGTCTTATTTGAACAAATGCATTTTTTCCCACATTTTTTAAACTACTTCAAAAGAAATGTCAAGAGAATTCGTTGTATTTGTTTTCAACAATTACCTATTGCTGTCATCAATGTAAAAGATGCCCTGTCAACAACATACACTTGTTTCGATAAGATAAGTTTTTAAGTAAAGCAATAAAGGTTGACGCAGCATTAAAAGTATTTCGTCATATATTAATGTATTTACCAATAACCTCATACAGATACTTTTATCACTTTACCAGAAAAACTTATTTCAATTTCAAATTTTTTAACGTTTTTAAATAAAAATAAAAAGGTCCTTTAAGGGAAAAAAAACATTTCACACAGAAAGGGCCCGTCTCCTAGTTGTTTTTTCTTTTGAAATGGTCATTTGTAAACATATTTTTTTGATAACAAACGTCAAGACGCAAATAAGAATATGATTTTGTTGAAAGCAAAAATTTGTACAACCCATCGCGGATTATATGAAACATCACTTTTCGAGCGCTTTCTATAAAAATAAACCCTATATTCTTTTAAAATTGTCCCTATGGGGAAAATGTCATTTAATTCATTGCCCGTTTTCGTCCTCATAAAAAATAAAATTTTTAAGCAAAAGGGAAACCCGGATTGGGTTCTTTTAAAAAGGGTAACATTTCGAAATTTCTAAAAGGCTAACATTACGAAATTACTAATATTTTTTTTGTAAACATGGAGGGATTTTTCCTGGTAATGTATTCCACGGGGTTGGAAACGTGAACCCTGACGGAGACTCGAACCTTGGACACTCGTTCTTACGTATCGCGGCTCTACCGTCTGATCCATCCAGCTGCTAATATTCTCTTCTAGAATGTTCCATACATCGTTTGTTTTGTATCAGATTAAGTCACCTTTATTGAACACGGACGAACACAATATACATCAAAGAATGATAATGTAATACAATAACAATGCGAATTGATCCCAATGGAAAGATATCGTTAACGTAATTGAAGCCATGTCCTCAATAAAACTGACCATCGATTACTCCTAGTCCAGGATTAATCTCTCATTATCAAGAACTTACGTTCGTAGCTAAATAAAATGTTTGGCTGATTGTTGTCTGATAATTGTATGTATTTGTTTCTACAACTGACGTGTCTGGAAGACTAGTGCTAGATTTTTAGGGAAAATATTTGAGCATAAATATTACATTTTACATATAAATGTATATAAAGCAATCATAAATATTACATGCTTTATTATGCAATTGTATAATTTTATTGTGATTTCATAATTTTGGCCGAATTATATTTGCAATTTGAAGAATAGCATATAATAAAGCATGGAAACTTCTACATCGCATGTAAAGATGTACATGTATATAATATTAACAAGCATATATATGTGCTTTTCGTGTTATATTTACCAAATAACTTCAAATTTTATTTATAAATTTTGATTTTATAAAGAATAAAACTATATATCTGCTCATAAAAAGTTTTGTTTGATTTTTGAAAATGAATATATTGAAATTCCAAAATACATTTTGAAAGACACATTTTTAAAGTTTTTCTTAAGAGCGAATGAATTAATTTTGGGCGATTCTTAGCCCGTTTTAGGCCGGTTTGCGCAATAAAAATGATTCTTCTGGAAAAACGATCTGAAGTTCAATTTAAAGTTATCGGTACAAACATTTCGAAAAAAATCAGTCCCACCAAGTAAAAAAACCTCAGTCGAGTCCCTTTTCAATATGTACGACATAAATAGAAGAATTGTCTGGTGTATAAGTAAGGTTTGAAATTATCGTTCGCGCATTAATTTGATATCAAAAACTAAGTGTTTTTTTTCTTCTGAATTTCAATTCACGTGTAACTTAAATGTCATTTAATCCTTTATATACGTAGCGACAAAAATGTAATTTCACAATATTTAAAAGACTAAAATATCTACAGGGAATAACCTGTTGGATAAGATTGAAGCTTAATATTTTTCCATGAGTTTTTTGTTTGTTGTTTTTATAATATTTTGTTTTATGCCAATTTAAACACATTGTTTGGTCATATATCGTTGGTAAATTCACCTTATGTTCTGCCCTGAATGACTACATAATAATTATAACCAAGTGGAGTATTACATGACTAAATTAACGTTATTGGTACATCCAAAATAACTTTTGCAAACGTAAGTTATATATCAAAATATCGTATTAAAAGTTCTCATACAATATGACTATAATAAATTTAAGAATGATGATCACTCGTATGTTTTATATGAGGTTTATGTCTGCACACTAAAACAGGGACGTCTGCATGATGTAAACAATAATCGCTCACACTTCCGGTAAATGTTCTTCTGATTAAACCCATTCCCCTTGTTCCTAATATCAGCATTGATGCACCCTCTTCTTTTGCCGCCTCTACAATAGCTTCTCCCGGTTTACCACACTGTTGTTTTACATGGCCACTTAACTGAAAAAGAAGGAAAAGGAACAAATAAATTGACATATTATCATTAAAATTTGGAATACGTCTTTCTCTTTTATTATAAAACGCGTTTGAAGCGTCGATTGTTATTGGAAAATAGCTGTTTATACATGTATATCGTCTTTATACAGGGGTCCTGTAAAATGAACAATCAAAGAAAAAGATTGCGCGTATAAAACATTTCCCGTTGTTACCTTCAAAAGTTCAAATTCGGTTATACAGGGCTGTATAAAATGTCTTAAATCCTTATGACTAGTAATCGTGTGGTAATTATTTATTTTAATGCTTGGATTATAGTCAAACCTATTTTGTCAGGGGAAATTAAAAATATTGTCTTTATACAAGGACACGCAGTATTTCCATTACAATCTTATAAATATCGGAACTGAATTCATCACGAGAAATTCATAGAACTCAAAGCCTTACGTGTGAATCCTTCATTTTCACAGAATATTTCTCGATGAGCTCATGGATCCTTTCTTCGTTATCTTTCAGGAGATCAGATACAATATTTGGATCAGTCAACAGTGATGCTGAAAATTGAAACAAAATTAGAAAGGTGTATCGGCTGCGTATACAATCTAATTAGTAAACGATCTTCTATTGTGAAGAACGATCCATGTTTTTAAAAACGAGTGAACATTTAATTGATTATTATCATCGTATAACAAATAGAAGAGCGCATGCGCACCAAATTATTGTCAAATAGTTTAGAAATTGTTAGTTTCACAAATAAACTTCATATGTTATTGATAAAATTTGATATTATGATCAAGTTGACATTATGACCCATGACTTTATATGAAATAAATTTGTCAATAAATCATGAACAATATTACAAGGAAGGCGTTATCATATTAAAAATGATAAAGCGCAAATAAGGCAAAACAAAACTTTCGGAGCAAACCCTATTTCAGTTTCCTTTTGAACTATAACTTAACTAAAGCTACTGTGGCCATCAGGGGCGCCTACAACCAATGTTGATATTTTTTATAATCAAAAATTGTAAAATATTCCTCGTAAATGGGAAACAGCAAATAGTAATGATTGCCATATGCCATTTTTATCAGACTGTTATTGTCAACTTATTTTCCTATTAATTACCTTTTTATTCTGGCAATAGTGCAATTGTTAGATACGTAATTTAAATAATGCAATAAATTAATAATTGAGTTTGTTTTAACAAGGAATTGACACATATAGCAACAAATAAACATACAGAAATATAGAAAATAAGTCGTTCGAGGATATATTTATTTCCAGAGTAAAACGATCATATATGTCTATGCTATGAATCGAAGACGCTAGATTTGACAAAATCTGTTATAAAAAATGCTTAACCATGCATCATAATTGCGCTGATCCCTTCTTTTAGCTGCTTAATTTGTTTTGAATATGACACGCCTACTTTGATATGCCAAAATGCAAGTAAAATATTGAAAATAGTTAAACTTACAAGTAGATAATATGTGGCTATATTCAGGTACATGTACAAGGACTATCCGATCTCCATCTTTATGTACATTGTTCACATAAACTAAAATAAAACAAGAACTTTTTAATAAGATCTCGTTAAATAACTGTATCTGTTTTATTACTCGTCATGTCAAAGAAAGAAATTAATGGTAATGGTAACAGTACAGTACTAATGTAAACAATACGGTACTTATGTTAACAGTATGATACTAATGTAAACAGTACGGTACTAATGTAAACAGTACGGTACTAATGTAAATAGTATTAAGGCATTTTCATTCTACAAAATAATATTGGTGTATCAGAGTATTTTATTTGATTTTCAATCAATTGTCTTCCAAAAGATTTTTTTCTATTGCAAGTCTATATGGAACCACTAAAAAAGTACGAATAATTTATTTGTGTATCAGATCTAATTACATAATAATGATTAACACTTTTAGCGCTAAATTACATTTTCTTATGTTTGATTTCCTTCGTGTATTTATATCATTTGCAATATACTGTTGTTGAACAATATTTGGAAGCGTGTAACAACAGAAGAAGCGCCAATATAATAGAGAAATTCATTTTTTTATAAATAAAAACAATCTTTCATATTTTGTTATATTTAAACAAGCTAAGAATGTAGGTTTATAGAGTTCTCTAATTTGTTATCGTTTTAGCAAGTATTATATTTTCTTATATTATTCTAAGTATTGTCTTTTGTCAACCAGATATGATATTTTCTTTTATTTATGATACTAAGCTAACATGTCACTCTTTTAAAAGAAGAACATGATCTTTCATATTGAACTAAGCTCGTATTTATCAAATATATATGTTTTTATTGGTAAACAAACTAACAATAGTTTGATATAACTCACAATCAAATGCAAATTCAGAATGGAAACTGTCATCTATTGCAATGACAATGGTTCTCCGGTCTGACATTGTTATCTTCTTGTTCTCCCACCTAAGATTATCTGGCATGCATCTTTCTCATAGAAATCGTTCGAGTGTCATCTATAACCTGTCCTATAAGCATGTAAAAAATACATTAATACATCGATCATAATAATAAAATGACAAGTCCGCACTATTCTAGATTAGTCCAAGTTGATATTTTACAATATAAATTTCTTATTTGCACGCTACTGGGATGTGTTCTGCATTTCTATGAACGCAGTTGTCTCCTTGGCAATGATTTTATTTCACTCAAATAAAAAAGTAATGCATAAAGTAGTTGATTATTATAAATCAAAAGTGAAACGGTAGATTAATAATTTCAAAGTTCTATAGTATCATACTAAAACATACTTTTCTCAAAAGCTTTAATGAAACTTTTTCTGATGTATAAATTTTGTGGAACATTGGTAATAAACAATGAATGTTGTTATTTAATTTTCAAGAAAACAATGTCGCTGCTTTTGAACGAAAGTTAGATCTGAAATTCACAATGTTGTTGCTTAGAAACGGACAGCATTTTTGCTTACATTATGTATCTAAAATACATTCTGATTAAAGGGGATATAATTTAACAAAAGCAGTAGTTTTTTTCTACTCGGTCGGATTGAAAATTGTACATATTCCAAACCAAAATTGTTTTCCCTAACCACGATAAAATAATCTTCATATAATCAAAAACGGAGCGTCATGGTGTAAGAATAACATCAAATATCATTATGAAAATAATCTATATTCCTGGTATTAGATTCAGCGTATAAATTGTCTATAATGACTTGATAACGATGAAGAGGCAATTCTGCCAGAATATATCTGATCATATGTGTTGGAAAATTTAAAGTGTATAAAGCTATGATATATCTGCAGCCTGTTGTTTATAAGATTACCCTTTGAAAGAAATGCTAAACATAAATATATGTTGCCTGTAGTTTACATATCTCTTGTTTGAATTTGCCCCCACTCCCAAAAATAATAAATAAATAAATAAATAAAAATAATAAAATAATAAAATAATAAAATAATAATAATAATAATAATAATAAAAATAATAGAAACAGATAACAAAATGCAAATTAAACAATTTCAAATGATAAAAAGAATAAATAAAATAATGTTAAACGTGCAATATTACGTGTGGTTAATAACAGAAACATAACATGTTACAACTCAACTCTTTTAAGAATCAACTATTTTTCGTGCTTTAAATAACAGAAACATTACATATTTTTAACTCTTGAGACTCGACCATAAGATTATGGAAATAGTTTTACTGGTTATAAATTTTGTAAAATATTTGATGATGTATAGCTATATACTTTTTAATATAATTTATATTATTATCATTTCATTCAAATGATTATTTCACATAATAAGTTAAGTAGAAATTCGTAACACTGTGTATATCAAGACATTTAAGTTTATATTTAAAACAAAATGGCCGATACAGTTATCCGATTTTTTCAGGCGTAAATCATAACCGTTACATTTATGACATCTACATTTTTAATATTATACATGTTTATGCTGCTAACAATTACAACTACAATAACACCAAAAGTATGAATAAATAAAACACTACATTAACTGATTTAAGGTAGGTGGTTAAGATACTTTGAATGTCTCGAAACGATTTGCAAATTTGTAAAAAAGAAGTCATAAACAACGTCTTAATTTACCCCTGGTATTTTTATGAGATAAAAATGAGTCTTAAATTGTCTTTTTTAGCTTCATCAATAATTACAAATTTCTTTTTGATCACTTTGCCAACTGGCAGACATTACGACATACATTTGTTCCATTTTATTGGTGATTTTCCTGTTTATTTTATGTTAGACAGAACCAGAAGTTTCAGTTGCTAAGTAATTATAAACAAGATTAGCATTTCTTTTCAGATTTTTTAATGGTGCAAACACATCATCCAAACTTTTTCCTTTTTTTAATTTGATGCAAAAATAACAATGCTACTAATTCATTGCATAATAAGCTGAACAAATTGTGTTGATCCATGAGATGTTATCATATAAGATCATAAATAATATTATAAAGATTAAAATAAATTGTATTACTTCATATTTTTTATCATAATAAGCCCAATGAAAATTTAAGAAAGGGGTGTCCGTTGCCGAGTGGTTAAGGTCGTTAATTACAAACCACTTGCTCTTCACCACAGTGGGTCCGAATCCCGACAGTGACTAGGATTCTTTTGTGGGAGGAAGCTTTCCAGCCAGCCTGCAATAATGACTGACGGAAGGTCACCTGACGTTTTCCTCTACAAGGAAAGCTGAAAAATCGTCATGTGACATATCTCTTGTGTGAGTGCGACTTAATGACCAACGAAAATGTAGAATGGTAATAAAAACTAGTCATGTCACTTGTTCCATTAGGCCCTTGTTAAGAATTTGTTCAAAAAACGAAAACGCCAAAAATGTTTTAACTTGTATACTTCAAAAGAATTTTATTTTTTGTAGCCCCTTAAATTTCCCTATATTTTATAATGGCCATATACGTGAGCATTTTTGCTTCTGCCGCCGTTTGGAAAGAAGTACGTGAGAGATTAAGTATCT